TTGTCACTAAAAGCCTTGTTTTTTACTTTTCGGGATGACCTTTTAGTGACTATTCTCATGACGATAGGAATTGGTCCCTAAATGTTTTTTGTAACAAAATTTTTACTTTTAAAGACTAAAATATTTGACCTCTAAAACTCTTATATGTTGTAGTAATATATGTAACAAATTAAATCATAAATTAACTTAAACACCATAATTTATTAACATAAATTACCTTATCTAACACTTTAGCTTTTAATCTACTTTCTCATTTAATTGTTGATAAAAGATGACATTTAGGGTTAAGGTTTAATTAGAAATGGGATTTAATTTGGAGAATATGATGAAAATGAGAATATTTTTAATATTTGATTTAAATTTTGGCTTTGACTTGGGATTTGCATTGTCTACTCTCACCTTGAGAGAGTGTGTCACTCCCTCCCTTACTTTTTAAAAACAAAATTAAACTATAATATTTTAATCTAAAATCATAAAAGGGATAAAAGTGAATTTTATCCCAACATCAATGACCTAATGATAAACACCAAGGATCCTCTAGAGTGAAATTTTCCTAAAGTTTCCTAGAGTGCTACATTGTGTGGTTGAGATTTACTAGCAAGTCACATCAGAAAAATTGATGTGACTTGCCAGTAAATCTCAACCACACAATGTAATACTCTAGGAAACTTTAGGGAAAAATCACTTGTTGATTGCCGCCTAATGTACCCACCTACCCACGTCTGACCCCATCCCCCTCTCACCTTCCCCCCTCTTTCTCTCTTTCTCTATTCTTCTTCTTCAACAGAAGCAAAAAACACACCCGATGCTCCTCCACGTCTCAACCCCCCCACCTTCCAATCTGTGTAATTTGGGGTTTGATTTCCTGTTTTTGGTGGCCAATACAGACTTACAGGTTAAATCTAACTTCACAATTGTATATTAAAGTTCTATTTATTAATTGTTGGAATGATTGTTTATTGATAATTGGCGGTTTTCATTATTTTTTACCTCAATTATCATCTATTCGCAGTGCTATGCATATGCATATCTGTTTTACCTAACACAGGCTCTCCATTAGAAATGAGAAGCATAGTGGCAATGGGGGTGAAGAAAAGTGTTGATATGTTGGCTTATACTGCCATGGCCATAACATGTTTGATAGTTTGCCTATGAGAAACCTACCACAATGATCGAACAGAGTAACAAAGTACTCATTTACTCATTTTGATTCTGATTTTGATTTTTCTAAACCTTAAATTCATTTGTTAATTAGGTATTTTCTGGATATTATTTTTAGGTATTTTGATTTCCCTAAAACACACAAGTTTGTAAGATTTGGTTTAGTAATATGTGTTTGTTTCCCTTTTTTTCCCCTTTCTTGGTTTATTTCCTCCTTCTCGATTGAAGGCATTGTTGAGAGCAATTGCCTAATTGTTGCAGTTATTTGGGGTACAATTATAGTGTTTTTGATGTTAATTTTTTTATAAATTAATTGGTGCTTCTGCTTTATATTGATTACCTGCTTTATTATACCTGCTTCTGTTAAATTGTTGGATAAATTGTTGGTTGATTATGCTTCAAGTTTTTTATTTTTAATTTTCATTGGATAAATTGTTGGTTGATTCTGCTCTTCTCTCGCCATCAACCACCGATCGTCTCACCATCCAGGTTTTGCTTTAAAGTTAATGATTTTGATGTAAACTATTTTAATTTGTTGGGGTTTGGTGGGTTTTGATTTCTGAAATTTGAAATGGATTTGATGCGTTTTATTCGCAGAAATTCGCAAAAATTTGAAGTCGTTTCGCTTGAGACATCATCCTCGGGAGCAAGTTTTCCGGCTTCTGCGCTTTCCGGCACATCCCTGTGAGTTTACTCTCTCTATCTCTCCTAGAAATGTTTATAGATATATGAATATATAAAAATACACCGTCCAAGTTTTGCTTTAAAGTTAATGATTTTGCTTTGGGTTATTGGAACTGCTTATACAATTATATTTAATAATTATGTAATAAATTTCCTTGATTTACTAGCTTTGAGGATGTGTAAGTGTTAATTCTTTGCTTCTATACCATTCCTTTGCTTTCATGGGCTCTAGAAAGAGTATATTCTTGAAACCTTGAGTAATGAGTTAGGGTTTCTCTTGGCTGGTTCTGTTTTTGATTAAATAGAATGATCATTGTAATTTTTTTTTTGGTTAAATTTTTTTCAATTAAAGGCATTGCAGTTTCTTCCTTAACCTTTTGGTATGATGATGTTGAGAGCAAAAAATGAAATTGATGCTTACAAGATTTAACTTCTAAATATTTCCGCAAGTCAATTCTCTTTCTGAATGAGAGAAATATAACCCGTTCAAAGCTTAAATATAGTTATTCACCCAAAAAAAAAGGCTTACATATAGTGGTCATTATTGTTAAGAGTTGAGAAATCATTATCGTTAAGAGTTGAGAAATAAGACTGGTCACACAAGTAGTTAAAAGGAAGTGGAAATGATGTAGCTCTTATTCACGAAGACAATAATGCTATGCTCAATTTTAGTAAGTTGAGTAGCTGTTGAATTTAGGGGACCAGAATAGTGTTTTTTACTTTAAAGCCATAAATCATAGAAGAGCTAGCCAAAGAAATGTGGGAATAACAAAGTAGGGTGGTTCAGTCATACTGATCCAAATGAAGTAAAGACATTGTCTCATTTTATGATAAACTTTTAGGGCCTACTACTGCTGACCATGGGGCTGGCGATGACATAAAAAACTATATCAAGAAGCAACTTACTAAATGTCAGAAATGTGAGTTACTCAGGTATGTTGCTCCTGCAGAGATGAAGCACTATTTTCTCACTGAAAGAGGAAAAAGCTCTAACAGCTGATAGATATAATGCTATGTTCTTTAAAAAGGCTTGGTCCATTATAGGTGATGATGTGATTGCTTGGATATCTTTTTTCTTCAGTTCTGGTGCTTGATGAGAGAAGTTCAATATATAGTGATTAATTGGTTCGGCAAGCTGCCTAATCCTTCAAATCTAAGTGATAGACCTATCTCTTATTGTAATATCATTTATAAGTGCACTGCTAAAATTGTAGTTGATAGACTTAAAATGGTTCTTCCTTCAATTTGCCCATTATGGAGGATGGAGGGGATTGCTGATAATGTGCTGCTTTCTCAGGAAATATCATCGCAGTGCTAATGGCAGGAAATGTGCTTCGAAGGTGGACTTAAGAAAAGCCTATGATTCCGTAAGTTGGCATTCCAAGCTCCAGACACTTGATGGGACTGGGTTGCCTGAAAATTTTATAAGTTGGGTCAAGGCATGTATTACTTCTCCCAGCTTTTTAATTAATGGCAATGATAATGAACTGAAGGAATATTTCCCAAGTGCCAAAGGCCTTAAACAAGGGTACCCATGTCACCCTACTTGATTGTTTAGGCTATAGAAATTCTGACAGGTATCTTGAGAAAGAAGATAACAGTGAGTGACTTCAAGTACTCAAGGTATGCAAAGGAAATGATTACTCATTTGACTTCCACTTATACATGCTCTTTTGCATGGCTGATGTGAGTTTTATTACTCTATTTAAAGAAGCTTTGACTGTTTTCCAGAGTTTTATCTGGTTTAACTTCGAATCCTGCTAAGAGTGATGAGTCTTCTAATATGGCATTTCTAGCTTAATTTCTTTCAAGTTCGGACATATCCCATACCCTTACGCAAGTGTTAACTGTCCAACACATATACTTCATAAATTTAGAAGAACCATATAATATTGATCAATGTAATGTTATGTTCTATTCAAATATACTGAAAAATAGTATTTGAGTTTGTTCTATATCACATGATTCAAACTGTTATATTGTTATAGAAACAAGGATTGTGAGAGAAACATGGATTTTAAAAAATAAATAAATAAAACTCTAGATGATTGATAGATTGGGGTAAATAGTATAATTATCATTTGGCTGGTTCTGTTTTTGATTAAATATCGTTCAGGTAATTTCAGTGTTTTTTCATGTTGTGTTTTACTCAATTTCTGCCTCTCCACTTCTCTTTCTGTGTTGCTACAATTCAAACCCATCGTTCTTCAGTTCAACAGAGGTAAGTTCTCTAATTCTTTGTATTGACAATCCAATTCTTTGTGTTGATTGTTTATGGGCCAGTTACATTGTGTTATTTTAGATTGTTATTATTAGAATTCCATTCTCCCAAACCCACAATTTTTCGAATCAATCTAATACATTTTTTAAACAAAATATAAACCCACAATTTGTTTATTAAACCCATCCAAGCACCAAGAACTACATTAGTTTTTTGAACTGGTTTGAGGAAGATGGCTGTGGTGACCAATTTTGTTGTAAACTGGTTAGAGTTGGTTTTTTTTATTGCACCATTTAGTGTTTTTCTCATTACCCACTACTAAAAACCGGACTTTTTGCGACGGTCGCAAACATCGCAAAAGGTCCATATATCGTTGCAAAAGACTTTTTGCGACGGAGCAGCGACGGAAAATGGGGGGTGGCGGAAAGGGGCGTGACAAAAAGTATTTGCGACGGTTACAAACCATCGCATTCTTATAGCGACGGCTAATCAATAGTTTTTGCGACGGTTTCGCCTGACACAAAAAAAGGGAAAAAAATGACATTTTTAGTGACGATGTTGATTGCCGTCGCAAAAAACCTTTTTTAGTGACGGTATTTGCCGTTGCAAAAAGTATTATTAGCGACGGTCTAAAACGTCGCCAAAAAAGTAGTATTAAGTTAATACCGTATTGGCAACCGATTAAACTGTCGCAAAAGATTTATTTGCGACAGTTGAAACCGTCGCAAAAGATTGGAACTAATATGTATATGCGACAGGTTAACCCATCGCTAATAAAATATAAGGAAATGAGAATTACATTAACAACGGTTTATTATTGTCGCAATAAAATTATTTTTTATAAAATCATATTTTATTAAATATTTCCTATACAAATTATAATATTTTTAAAAATACATCCACATCCACATCCACATCCACATCCAAATTCACATTCAAAAAATCATATACCAAGAATAATATATGTACCTTGTAACAATTGTCAATCAAATATTATTTACAAAAATATATAAATTAACCTCTAACAATACTAATAATTTTTGAAATTGAAGAACTCAAATTTTTAGTATCGACAATAGAAATAAAAAAATAAAAACAGATATAATGTAGCTTGTTTTGATATCAATAGTAAGCTCCCATATCGATATGTGAAGATATCACGTACTCAAAAGGTTTGAATCTGCAAAAAGAAACAAAAAAGAAAAAAAAAATCATCATTTACAACATAATTATTTTCAAGCTTACAGAAAATGTAAACATTTGATTTTTTTTAAAAAAAAAATAAATAAATAAGATTGTAAACTCTAATATCGATATGCGAAGATATTATCAGGTACTCAAAAGGTTGCACCTGCAAAAAAAAACCAAAAAAAAAAATCATTTACAATATAATTAATTTCAAGCTTACAGAAAATGTAAAACATTTGATATTTACTTCAATAAATAAATAAATAAGATTGCAACATACACATGAATCGAGCGCCACACAATGTATCTTCCCATAGCTTCTCCAACTGTTCTAAGACATTGGGATGTTGTTTCCAAAACAGCGTTCGGCTTGTTCGCTTTTAAAACAAAAACTTTGCAAAATCCAGGGCCAATTGGAACTCCATCAATTTCGCACAATGGATCAACACTAATAAGAAGTCCCTCTGCCAATTGGACTCTTGGTATTATAGAACTCTCCAAAGAAACTTTAATTACATCCTACAATGATGATAATACAATTAAAAATAGGCAATGATTGTACACATTGAGCTATAATCTATAACAATAATCGAATAAACACAAAAAGAGTTTGTAAAGAAGAAGTTTTGATCGAATTCCGTCTTCTCCTACAAGTCATGTATGCCAAGTATGTTGCGTGTGTCAAGTTTTGTTGACATCCGAACCCGTTTAAGCATTTTAGTGTGCCAACCGGTTTAGAGTTATTAACTAACAAGTTTTCATTAACGGAAATTAGGCTTTAGATTCAAAACCGGGAATTGATTTCGAGTTTCGTCTTATCCTACAAGTCATGTGTGGCTAGTATGTTGTGCGTGTGAGTTTCGTTGACATCCGAACCCGTTTGAGCATTTTAGTGTGTCAACCAGTTTAGAGTTAATAAGTACAAGTTTTCATAAACGGAAATTAGGCTCTAGATTCAAAACCGGGAATCGGTTTCGAATTCCGTCTTATCCTACAAGTCATGTGTGCCTAATATGTTGTGTCAAGTTTCGTTGACATCCGAACCCGTTTGAGCATTTTAGTGTGTCAACCGGTTTGAAAAAGAGTCATTAAGTAATAAGTTTTCATTAACGGAAATTAGGCTCTAGATTCAAATCCGGTTTGAAAAAGAGTTATTAAGTAATAAGTTTTCATTAACTGAAATTAGACTCTAGATTCAAAACCGGGAATCGGTTTGGAGTCCCGTCTTATCCTACAAGTCATGTGTGGCTACTATGTTGTGTGTGTCAAGTTTCGTTGACATCCGAACCCGTTTGAGCATTTTAGTGCGTCATCCGGTTTGAAAAAGAGTTATTAAGTAATAAGTTTTCATTAACTGAAATTAGGCTCTAGATTCAAAGCCGGGAATCGGTTTCGAGTTCCGTCTTATCCTACAAGTCATGTGTGGCTAGTATGTTGTGTGTGTCAAGTTTTGGTGACATCCGAACCCGTTTGAGCATTTTAGTGTGTCAACCGGTTTGAAAAAGAGTTATTAAGTAACAAGTTTTCATTAATGGAAATTAGGCTCTAGATTCCAAATCGGAAATCAGTTTCGAGTCTCGTCTTCTCCTACAAGTCATGTGCGCCTAGTATGTTGTGCATGTCAAGTTTCACTGACATTCGAACCCGTTTGAGCATTTTAATGTGTCAATCGGCTTGAAAAAGAGTTATTAAGTAACAAGTTTTCATAAACGGAAATTTGGCTCTAGATTCAAAACCGGGAATCGGTTTTGAGTTCCGTCTTATCCTACAAGTCATGTGTGCCTAGTATGTTGTGCGTGTCAAGTTTCGTTGACATCCGACCCCGTTTGAGCATTTTAGTGTGTCAACCGGTTTAGAGTTAATAAGTAACAAGTTTTTATTAACGGAAATTAGGCTTTAGATTCAAAACCGGAAATCAGTTTCGAGTTCCGTTTTATCCTACAAGTCATGTGTGCCTAGTATGTTGTGCGTGTCAAGTTTCGTTGACATCTGAACCCGTTTGAGCATTTTAGTGTGTCAACCGGTTTAGAGTTAATAAGTAACAAGTTTTCATAAACGGAAATTAGGCTCAACAATCAACAAGGTTAACATCAACAATCTCTCCATATCTGTAAATTAACTCAATCAGACAGCAGATTTCAGTGATGAGAACAAAACAAGACAAACAAAATAAATTAAAACATAACAAGACAAAAGCAGATGAATACATGGGAAAAAGAATCCCACCATAAAAATCAGAATGAATAGTAGTTAATGCAAGCTATGAAACCCATTATTTCTCATACATAATAAACATTCTATACTAAAGCAGCAAGATATATGTTAAAAGTTTCACACTACCGTGTAACAAGGATTAATAATAAAAAGAACTTACAGCCCTAAGATTTGATATTTGAAATATGTAAATTATTTTCAAAACCAATAACCTAAATTTCAGTTGAGATTCTCATTTTTCACATATCTGCAGCTTTTAACCACTACTGCAAAAGGACGGAATGGTATACAGGGCCACTTGAATATGAACAATCCCCACATTGTATGGAAATCAACTTAGAGCGACATACCTACTACACAAATGAAACTACAAGCACCACTGAGCCATTAGAAGAGAGATCCAAGTTTAATGTTATAAATGCTTTCAAACATGAGGGGGGCTGGAGAACAATTAAGGCTTTAGGAAATAAAACGAAGATAGGATATAGACCCAATGATTAATGGTGTTTGAGACCTTTTGTTGAATATCTTTTTATTTAAAGCAATAGATGTTAGAATATCTTGACAATTGCAAGAATGCTCATTCACATAAAGAGCCAGTATATAATTAGCCAAAGATTGTGCAATTTGGATGTCATAAAATCATGTTACAACCTAAACAACAACAATTTGCAACATTGATGTGGTTACTGCTAGTTTATTTTAATCTTATATTGGTCAAGTAGACTCTTTGGTACCGAGAAGTGAGTTTTCTTCCTCCCTTAGGCAGCTGCTGGATTCCTTCACAGAGAGAGGGAACAAGTTAATTCTCTTCTTTCGCCGAAGGTCACATAGTGGTGGCATCCAGTTGAGAATTCGATCGAAATCCCTTTACAGTCCCGTCAACGACGACAAACTTTGGAGGGAGAGTGATACAACTAATAATGATGATAGCTCCCCTTATCCCTCTGCCATGAACAGAAGGTTAACCTATGGGATCTGTTAAACCAATCCAAACTAAGTTTTGTGTCTAATTAGGTGGAGTTAGATATATGAATCCTTTTTTACCATTCCACTCTGTCAACGAAAAAAATAATAGAAAAAATCAGCAAATTCCAATATTTTTCTTCCAAGAAAGCTAAATCCCAAAATATCCAACAATAAATGACAAACTCCATTATACAAATAGGGTCGGGCTAAGGCAATAATCACGACTAGGATGAACTCGATAAATAAAATAAGAATTAGTAGAAGTCCTCAAAAGGTAAAGCAAATGAAACCTATTTCTCATTTAAAACAAAAACAAAAAACAAGACAACAAAATTATGGTGACTAGAAAAGCTCTAACTTTAATTGGTCTAATGGACTAGCTTTGAAGAATCTAACTGCCCCATCCTTTTATTTTTACTAGTGGTTATGCACACACAATGTGTGCTATAAAATCTACATCTGAAGCAGTTTGAGAGTATAAAATCTACATCTGAAGCAGTTTGAGAGTTTTTTTTCTTTTTTCTTTTGGGGGGGGTGGTTTGCATAACTGCTCTTACATAAATGATCTTGAGTGCAACCAACTTGGATGTAGGCTTTATATAATAGTACAAATTTTTTCATGGCCACTCTTTGTATGGTCTTTATTTAATCTACTTTTCAAGAACCTCTTCCATACACCAGCAAGAATATCCACTTTCCGGAAGCAATTGAACTTGATGTTCTTTCACGTATCCTACCTTTGGTTCACAAGCTCAAAATATTCTTCTCCTTTTTTACAAGCTCGCTCAAAATATTCTTCTCCTTTTTTACAAGCTAACTCAAAATATTCTTCTCAAGGATATCTTCCATGATAGTAGTAAAATTTAAACATCAAACAAAACTGATTCAGGTTCCCAAAGTTCAAAATTGCAATCCTCCTGTAGTTTTCCAGGTTTTAGTTCAGTAATTCAAAATATTATTCTCCAACACATCCTCCGTAATCTGTAGTCACAAGAAGTTCCTTAGCACGTGATCAAGCTTCCCATGTTATATTCCCATTCAAACTAAAAGGTTCATGCCCATGCTTATAGCTCCCCGATAACTTTAATATCCCGTGAAACTTAGTACAAGAAATTTATACATTAAATTTTTCTCTCATTTTTTTGTTGAAACTCACTTGAATCCAGTCCCAAAAAGCTGTGTCACCAAAAACCCAGCCCTTGTTCCATGACCTCACCACAGTTGTAGTTCCTCTAAAAAGAAAATGTTAGTCATATGGCTTAATTCAAATCATAATTTTTTTTTATAAGTAACTAATTCCATTCATAAATGATTACTGGAACATAAGAAATGACTTAGCATTATTACAGCAGCAACACAAAGGACCAGATAAAGCAATGCCAACACACCTATAAGCAGAATTTGAGAGAATTACCTATCTATCTTTGAGCTATGCATGTGCATTAAAGAACCATCTATCTAGAACAAAAAACAAACAATGGCATGATCTCCTAGAAGTTCCATAACATCAAGCCATATTTAACTTGTTCTAGCACATATAAATAAAATAACATTTCTCTAAACATCGAAACATGCATTGGACACCAGTGGACATGAGTATCAAATGTTTACCACGCCCCAGTTATTAACAGGAAAAAAAAATGTTCCACATATTGCAAATGTTAACCCGTCCAGAAAGGGAGAAAAGGATGAATACGCAAAGATCAAGTAGCCACTCTGCACTTCTTTTTTATTTGAGAGGGGAGGGGGAAGAGTTATTATCTGTGTTACATGGACTCCTCCATTTTCCCCTAAAATACCCATGTCCATTGGATATGACATGAGTAAGGGTGTAGGATATGTGTCCAACACTTGTAACCAATTTAGACACTTGGATCCTTTAATTTGTTACAATATATGAAGAAGAAGAAACTCACATTTTGCTAATAAAGCAATACTTTTAGCCTCTCACGTGAATTAGAGATAAAAATTCCGTATTTTTTTTAATCCTATTTAATTTCTAGTATGTTTCTATATAATTTACATCTCATCCGAGAAAATTATATAATATGCAATATATATATATGACGGGTCTCCGTATCCATATCCAATTTTGGATAAGTATCCCAAGCTCCTAAGACCTAAGATTTAAGTTTATGAAGGTCTACGCTTTGATACACACTTGCTTCTAATACTCGTACCCGTTTCCATGTAACATAGGTTATTATGCAACTTTTGCAGGCCCAAATCTTTATCACAGGCCCAAATCTTTGTCAACTTATAGTTCCTGACAAAAACAATTTATCACGAACTGTTGTGATTCCAAAGTGGCCTATTACATAGGCATAGGCTGTGCTTGGATCTTGTACTCATGAAGGGATTTGTGGAAGGAAACAAAAAAAAATGGATACTCCTTCATGCACTTTTCCCCTTCCTTGTTTCTCAGCTTCTCCACAAATCCAAGATATAATAGTAATGAATTAGAGAGATTGAGTCTTAAAAAATATAATAATAACAAGACAATCTAGTTGTTCATTCCACCATGCCTATGATACAAACTAGTACACATAAAAAAGCAATTGAGAGATAAAAAGTAAAGAGCAAAAGAAGAATAAGGAGCACTTACTGTGCAAAAACAGCAAGAAGATCGCCTTCAGTGAGATCAAAGGGAATGCCTCCGACAAAGACATAAGCAGAATCTTTGTACTTGGCGTGCCAGGAAGCTTGTTCAGAAATACCTAACGCAGCTTCTTTCGAATTGATATTCTGAATTCGTTTCACTAGCGTCAATGGATTCATAGCTCCAACGATGGAGGATCGCCTGAAACCCTAATCGTTGTTCACTCCTTGCTGCTGCTGAACAGAGACAAATATATATGATGTTAAGGAAGGTTCAGTCCCTCCATTTTTTCACCTAATTGATTTGTTAGAAGGGGGAAAAAAAAAAATTGTATAAAACTTTAAAAGTGATTCGAACCTCATCTCGTAATTCTCATCTCGTAATTCTCTAAAAAAAATATTTTTTAAAAAAAAAAGGTGGGATTCAAACAAGACACGTAAATTCAAAGCATTACCAATATAGCCGAAGCAGAGTCACTCGTCTTTGGTGAAATCCCAGATGGGTTGGGAGATTTAACCAATCTCAAACAGATTACACTCTCCAGAAAACAATTTCAGTAGCGAAGTGTCTCTAAATCCAGCCAAATTGAAGAAACAGAAGCTTCTTGATCTCAGCCAAAATGGGTTCGTAGGAAAAGTCATGGAATCAATAGAAGGATAAATAGAGCATTTGAAGATCGACCTCAGCTCAAATTGCAAGGTCTTGTCGTGGTGGAGCTGACAAAAACCACAAACCACAAAAAAAGTTATATATATATATACACACATCCAATTTTCGCACAAATCAAACACAAACACAAAATTAATTTTGGCACAAATCAAACACACAGACCAACAAATTCTTGAATTGATGAGCAGGGAGAAACAAACGATAGAAGGGCAGAGGAGAGCAGAGGAAAGCAAAGGAAGGCTATACCTGGATGCCGGAGGGAGAACCAGAGAGACGGTGTTGTTGCCACTGCAACAGAGACGGTGTTGCCGCTGCTACAGACGCTGTTGTTACCGCTGCACGAGAGACAGAACGACGACTGGGTGAGAGGGAGGGTATGCGTGAGCAAGAGCGACAGGAAAGAAGAGGGTTGGTTACCTAGGCGCTGCTGTTGCCGGTGCAAGAGAGATAGAGTGACGACTGGGTGAGAGGGAGGGAGAGAGAGCAGTGAAATTAGGGCTTTTTTTTTTTTGATCTGATGAGAGATAACAAAGAATTTGGGAATATCGGGAAAGAGGGAGAGTGGGAGAGGGGGCTTTGGCGCGAAATTAGGAATTATTATTTGCGACGATTTTAAGGCCGTCGCAAATGAAAGAGAAAAAAGCAAAATTTTGCGACGGATTGGCAAAAGAGGGCCGCAAAACAGGAAAAAAAAATTAAAACTAGAAAAATTTTGTCAAATTTAACTTATCGTCGCATATAACCTTATTTTTTGCCACGGTCTAACTTTTTCCATCGCAAAAACTATAAATTTTGTGACGGCACTTAAACCGTCGCAAAAAGCAAGCTTTTGCGACGGCACTTAAACCGTCGCAAATTGTTCCGTGTCAAATGCTCCTTTTTCTAGTAGTGATACTTACACCGTGGCGGAAAAGTTACTTCTTTTGTGAAAGAATTTTTGTCATAAGATTTATATCTTTTCTTGAAACATACACCTTTTGTGAAAGCCCAACTTAAACCTTTTTCTGAAGTCACTTATATCTTTTATGCTTAACATCATGGTATCTCTCGTCTTTTTTTTACTCTTTGATTTAAGTTTTGTAATTTGAATTATATTTTTTATAAACCGCCAATCCGCCCGAACCGCCAAGGCAAATCCGCTATTACTTGCCAACCGAACCGCCGGTTTTTGATAAAGAAAATGACAAATTCTAGTGACACTTTTATCAATCCGCCACCCGCCATATGGTTTCTTATTTTCTCTCAAACTGCACCGACCCGCACCGCGCACACACCTAGTCACTACATTGAGGGCGCTGAGTTGATCGATTCTGTTCTCAATGTTGTTCGCAAAGAGGCTGATAATTGTGATTGTTCGCAAAGCAATAGCAAATTGTGATTGTTTGCAAGGTAACTGTTCTTGGTAGCCATGTGCATGTAAAGCAGCATATAAGTTGTAGAAGTAAAGAAAACCCACCAAATAATCCCACAACCCGCTCATTGTTATGATATATTAATTGAAACGCACTTACTTATTGGTATATCAAAAAAATCCATCAGATCACTGCATGTTTCCTTTGGTAGTTGTGCGACCAAAGTTTTTGAAGCGTTGAAGTTTCAATCTCCATGTAATATGCTCATGCTTCTCAACATTATGTTCACTTTTTCCTTTCACTTTAATTTTGATGTCTTATAATTATGTGTTTTTATCAAATTCTTAGCAGGTTAGCTTGGCATTGCAAAGTTCATAAGAGCATCCAATCTAGGTATTGTAGTTCTATTTTGTGGTCGAAAAATGGGAACTTTTGCACTAAATGCTTAATTTTCATTTTTTTTATGGGTTTGACTATAAATTGTTGAACATGGTAAAGTTTGGGAGCATGGTATTGTATGAGTGGTGAAAAAAAACTATAGCTAAATAATATTTATCACATTGTAGATTGAAAATTTACAGTTTTGTTTATTTTGGATTCAGATTAATGTATACTACAATCTTATGTGTTTTGATGCAATTGTTTGGATTTGATTTATTTGTTTGTTGTTAGATTTTTATTTTCTCATTGTAAGTGTACATCATTGTAAGTGTATATCAGTGTTTATTATCTTTATTAATAGTGTTTAGTGTTCGTAAAATTGATTTTTTGTAAACAAAAAAAAATTAAAATTGTGAAGTGATTTTTTGCGCTAATTTTTCTACTTTGAGGGAAATGATAGAGAAAACAACTGTTTTGTAAATCCATATTTTCATTGGGTTTGGTCCCAAAATTAAGGTTTTCATTGACAATGTATTTATGATTTAATTTTTATGGCTGTTGAGAGAATAGAGTGTTCCTAGAAGTTTGAATTTGCACATGACACTAATAGCTGAACTAATAATTCATGTCTTATGAATTTCTTTTTATTTGTTTCTTTCCACTGTATTTGAAAGCTAGATGAAATAACGTTACATTTTTTGAAAACTAGAGATTCAGTTTTTGGATTTGGAAACTTTGTAGGGGTAGTGGAGGTCAACAGAGTTTCACCCACTGATTAATCTAGATATGGGTTGTGAATTACACCGTGCCTTCAGGTACGGGCATACGCTAGTATATATATATATATATATATTCCAGGGGGCACGTGACCACATGTGGCTCCATCACTGATGATAATTGCCAAAAAAATAATATGTTGTTTTGGACAAAAAAAAAATGTGATCCTTTTCAAAATTTGATTTTTGTGTAAAATTTTCGTATTACCACTAACGTTGTTGTAGACTCGTGGTAAATATAAATAATTATCCAGAGAGTAAAATCAGGTTTGCATAATTATTTTAGATTCTCAAAATAATAATTTTTATGAAAAACTTATTTATTTAGTCAAATAAAATAACTTATTTATTTTTGAAAAAATTACATGCCAGTGGTAATTGCAAAAAATTATTATTTATATATATGAAAAAATTTATAATTTAAATTATTAATATTGATAAAGTTTACTACTAACTTGAAATTATTTTTTACCTTATACTAATTTGAAATTCCCTTTTTCTTTTTTGACTCATTATTTTTTAACTTATACATTAATTTGAAATTTCCCTTTTATTTTTTGACTTGTTTAATTAAAAGTAACTTTTATTTAAAAAATAGTCAAACGGACATCGAATAACAGAAAAAAAATATTTGATGGTCGAGGGATGCCATCTGGTATGCCATCTGGTAATGTCCCCTCCCTAATCACCAAATAAAATACTCTTATTATTTCCTTGTAATCTAACATAAAATTATGAACCCCATTCCTCCATGTTAGGGATGGCAATCTGAACCCGGCCCGACGGTGACCCGACCCCCCGTCCCCGAATTGAGTGGTTTTTCCCCGAAAAATATCCCCAATGGGCCGGGGATGGTATTCAAAATTAAATCCCCGATTGTTCTTTGATTAGCAATTGCAGCACACAGAGTCATGCTGGTTATTTAACAGCATAGTTGCTTCATTAAAATACTCACCTACATGCACACATGTACTGATTTTTACCGCTGATGGTTTCTTCAACCTTCAGAATAAGATGTCATTATGGAAAGAAATAGAGGGCAAGGTCCACACCACGTCAATTGTACCAATAACAGACAGACTAAGAAATATATGAGCTCTCTTGTTATTTGTCCAAAACCCTATTTAACATAGTATCCTGTGTAATTTGGGTTGGCTAACAAATCTTTATGAATTGCAACTTTACAACCAAACCCACAAAAAAAAATGGTCGACTTGGTGATTTTCAGATAATCAGAAAATCTGAAAGCAAGAACCGAAGCAAGAATTAATCAGAACTATCAACTGAATTTTGCTTAGAAACCTTATTAGCAGGTGATTTCAAAAATCCCAAACATTTTGAAGGATGAGTAATGATTACAGATACAAAATTAAAGAAAAATCCAGCAAGAATTGTATTGGGATGGGTACAGAATTCAACTGATTACAGATAAAAATATCCAAATTCAAAACTCAGTTAAAAATCAACCCAACCAAACAAAACCCACAAAAAATTCAGATTTAAGCAAAAGAATATTATGAATTGCAACTTTACAACCAAACCCACAAAAAATTCAGATTCAAGCAAAAAATAAGCAATAAATGAACCCATATCCATTCAGTTAAAAAATGGAACACCCTCTCAGACCCATTCAAACAAACACTTAATGGGTGTGAAGCCCTGGACTGAAATGGGTTGGGGATTAACCTCTGAAATTTCAAATGATGAAAATAAAAAGATTCAGAACTATGAAATCGCAACCTCTGAAATCGCAACCTCTGAACTATGATCAGAACTATGAACAATGTTCATATAAAAAGAGTAATAGTTGTGATAGAGATTGCCATACCTGAGTGAAGAAATCGCAACCTCTGAAATCGTAACCTCAGAAATCTGAAATGATGAAAATAAAAAGATTCAGAACTATTGTGATTCTGATTCTAAAGGGTGAGAAGAACAGTTGTGATAGAGATTGCCATACCTGAGCGATGAAATCGCAACCTCTGAAATCGTAACCTCAGAAATCTGAAATGATGAAAATAAAAAGATTCAGAACTATTGTGATTAGAGGGAGGAGGACAGGAATACCTTGTGATGAAGAGGAGCGTCGGTTAGAAACTGATGAGAACAGAGAAGGGAGAGGGATAAAGATAGAATAGAGGGGAGACGTGGGCAAGCGGGAAGGGGAGTAGAGAGAGATAAGGATAGAATAGAGGGGAGACGTGGGAGAGGAGGAAGTTCACTCTTTCTTTGGGCGGGAAGTATGTGTAGGTATATATTTAGGGAGAATCTCAGCCATCTATATAAATAAACAAATAAATCTTCACCATTCAAATGTCCTAGTAGGACAATTGTTTCTACTATAAATTCAAAAACCCTCTTCTCATATTATATAGATTATAAAATAATAAATATACATATCTATAC